ACTCATTCAAAAACCATGCATACTCCGACAAGCTGATCACCATATATTTTGAACCGGTACTGCTCACAAAAAATTGGAGCAAAACAGCGTTATTGGACTGCTACACGTGGTATGTCTCCAAAACGAGATGTGATTGATTGGTAAGCTAGGGGATGGCAATAAAGTAACTAGAGCTGCAGCTAACGATTATTTTCAAAATCGATTAGTTAGCCGATTATTAGGTTCGGTTAATCGGATAAACAATAAAATTTTAAAAAATGGCTCCAGTGATAGGACTACTAGTTTGTATTCAGATTGTAGTCCATCACAGGAGCAAGCTTGGAGCGGTGGAAGTAAAAAAGAAGATAGTGTGGTGTGCAATATAGTGAAATGGAAAGTGTAAAATTATACAGCAATGAATGCAGAATGGCACCGGCTATAGAGGACTACAAAACCCAGCAATAGTACATTATACAGCACAATGCAGAATACCACCAGCTATAGAGGAATACAACAAATCCCAGCAATAGTACATTATAGCTGGCGGTATTCTGCATTGCGCTGTATAATGTACTATTGCTGGGTTTTGTAGTCCTCTATAGCTGGTGGTATTTAGCATTGTACCACTTTATAATGATTTATTGCTGGGATTTGTTGTACTCCTCTATAGCTGGTGGTATTCTGCATTGCGCTGTATAATGTATTATTGCTGGGACTTGTAGTCCTCTATACAGCGCAATGCAGAATATCACCAGCTATAGAGGAGTACAACAAATCCCAGCAATACATTATACATACAGTGTATAATGTATTGCTGGGATTTGTATTCCCATGTATAATATACAGCACAATGTACCATCAGCTATAGAGGAATACAAATCCCAGCAATACATTATAGAGCACCATGTGTGGGAAAGTGCAGGCTTACCTGAGCAGTCTTCCAGCAACTTGCTTCTGAGATCGGACCTGTCTATCAGCGGCTGTCATTCCCCCCACACCTGCTCCTCCTTACTACATCTCCCCGCGTCCCTGTGCCGATCGTGGATGTGGATGGGCAGGAAATGTGAGGCGGGGAGGAGGTGCGGCGTGTGGAGTGTGGATGCGAGCGGGTCTGGCAGCGGCGAGCATGAGGTGGGGAGGAGGTGCGGCGCACAGCATGTGGAGCTGTGAACAGGGCCAACTGATCAGAAGCCGATTAATCGATTATTGAAAAAGTTGACAACTTTTTCTATAATTGATTATGTTGATTACTTGTTGCAGCCCTAAAAGTAACTTAAACTTCTCCGCTGGATTCAGAAGTCTTTTTGTTATAATAATCTGGTCACTCAGTATATAACAAGCGATATCAATGAAATAACGGCCGAAATGAAGAAAACAAGCTTTGTGAATTGACCCCCATTGTCTTTAATTCATCCAGTGAGATTAACTCTTGACATTTGCACACGTTATAATACATATTTAATCCTGAAAATTACCTAAACACCCCCCGACAGTTACAGGTGAAACTCGAATAATTAGAATATCGTGCAAAGTTCATTTATTTCACTAATGCAACTTAAAAGGTGAAACTAATATATGAGAGAGACTCATTACATGCAAAGCAAGATAGTTCAAGCCGTGATTTGTCATCATTGTGATGATTATGGCTTACAGCTCATGAAAACCCCAAGAACCCCAAATCCACAACCTCAAAAAAGTAGATTATTACATGCAATCAATAAAACAAGGATTGTACATAGAACAATATCGGACCTCTGAAAAGTACAAGCATGCATATGTACTCAGTACTTGGTTTGGGCCCCTTTTGCAGCACTTACTGCAATTACTTTTGCACAATATTCTAATTATTCGAGTTTCACCTGTATATATTTGCTAAAAGCACAGACACTGCAGCATAGAATGACGACAGTTGAAAATTTTTACTTTGCATGATATTAGTGCAACTCTTTATTAAACCCAAAATGTCAGTGAAATGACACCTAAGTAAATGTAGTGCCCAGAGACAGAATATAAACACCCATTTGTTGTAAAATATAAAAGATGAGGTCATGCCAAGTAAATAGATACCCAACATGCCAAGCCTAAAAATTGCTTGTGTGCCCTTGAAATTGCGTAAAAATACGGCACCCTAAACTGTCCAGGGGAGATGCTTTAAAAGCTTATAAAGGTCATGAGTTTAGAGATAACTGTGAATATTAGCCCTAGAATTATTGCTCTCACTCTGGCCCTGTGGTCCCTGGAGTGTAAAGCAGCGTTCCAGCAGCTTAAGCAAGCACTTGTTCAGGCTCCTGTACCAGCCACTCCTGACCCTACCAAACATTTTGCTGTTTACACAGATGCCTCCATGTTTAGGTAGGTAGTGGTGCTAATCCAAGTCAAAGATGGGCACGACCATACAGTTGCATATATCAGCCACAAACTCTTGCACAGGGAAGTAGCTTACTTGGCCGTGAAGAAAGAATGTTTAGCCCTGGTACAAGCCCTCCGTAAGCTACAACCCTACCTGTATGATCGATCATTTACTGTCCTCACGGATCATAACCCCCTTGTTTGGTTGAACCGGGTGCCCAGAGGCAATGGACGGCTGTTGAGGTGGAGCCTGGCCCTACAGCAGTTCGTTTTCACAATCCAATATTCGCATGGGAAACACAATGCTAATGCCGATGAACTATCTCTCCCAAACGGAACTGGAGGGGTGACCAATGCCATGGACATCCCCAAGTGGACTCATAGAGGGTCTCAATGGGTCTGCCAACCGTTAATTTGGGGGGGGAGCTATGTGACGAACTGCTCATCAGTTTACGGTTTATGTGTGTGTGTGTTATTGTTAAGTATGTTATACCGGGTAACCTGTTTATCAAAAGACCGTCAGCGCTTCCCCGAAAGCTTTCTTTGTACTCCCAAGGAGCTCGGGACAATGACATTATCCCACTGATGCATCTAGCCGTACCCCTCCTGTGGCCATCTGGAGCTCTTGGGCAACTAGACCCCAGTGATGGGGTTGGAGAGACAGGATGTCTGGGAGGGCAGGGTGTATGTGATGTGATTACAATCTTATCTGATCACTTTGTCTATAAAAGGTTTCACAGTTGCTCAATAAAGCAGTTTGTTTCATCCTACACTTGGTTTCAGCTAGTGACTGGGTGCTAATGATCAATTAGGTTGCAGCATCTAGTCAGCAAGGAAAAATATAGCAACAGACTTACTCATCCTGAGAAGTGGAGCCCGTCACACCATAGACTCTGCTAAGTCAACCCCAATGTGTCTTTAACAGATTTATTTTTATGGCATCAGCACTGCCTTTGGCCCCATTCGATTAGCTATGATGATCACACCTGGAGGAAGCTGATCACCTAAAGTCTCATGGAGGAATTTGTGAAACTCGTGGGATTGGCCTCATTTTCAAATGTGAATGGGGTCTAAAAGATACAAGCAGATATTTCTATCATCTAAAATGTTTCACTTTAAGAATTTCCTGGCTTCCTGTTTTAGAGTGACTCCTTTCTCAAGCAGAATGCTATGTAGTCACCCTTGTGTGTGCTAGTAAGCTGTTCGTATAGTGTAGCAGGTAAGTTGCGCTCAGTCTAAGTGAATGTGAATTCTAAAAAAGTAAGAGAACAATCTCTCAGTTCAAAGGAAATCATAAACATCTGTGTAAATGTCGGAATCCTCTATCTCGGCCTGTAATAAATAAATGAATAATCAAAAATTAAAGAACAATCTCTCCGTTCAAAGGAGAACCATAAACTCTGTATAGATGCCGGGAAAACCATTATCTTGGCATGTGGTGAATAGAATATAAATTCCGACACCACACGGCGTGTCAGTGAATGTATATGTGACAGGAATGCCGGACTCTGATACTGTAGCCCAGAAACAGTCTGTGATTGTAACAGTGTAGCAAAAAAACTTAATTACAATCCATATGTGAGTGAACAATAGATCAACAGGTTTTTCATGTGCAAAAAACTTAATGCAGTGAGCAAAGAAAAATAATGATTTCAATGTCCTAATCAAAAAGACAGAAAAAAGGTAAACCCAGGTGTTATACTCACAATTTCTCAGCATCACAATAACCCATATAAAAAGTGAACAATCCAAAATATATAAAATAAATGCGCTCTGATTCCCCTCTCAGATGGATGCAAGGGGTTAAATATCTAAAATAATACCAACGATATAGCAAGCAATCAATTTCAAAGGTCTTGCAGTTTATATGAAATGGGATAAGAGCAGTTACTTTCCTTCTTTCAATGATGTTTAGATGAATAATCCGAGTATATCAAACCAGTCAATGAAAAAGTCCGGAAAGTCCTAAGGTTCTAGTATTCCACCTCCTCCATTTTTTTTTCTCCCAATCAGGTACTGAGGTGTAGTTTTCTCCTTCTACCTCGATTTTTCTAAAGCTTCACCGAACAAGCTGGCGGCGTATGTCTTTTTTGTCAATTAAATACCCTAGACCTGTCAAGCCTGCAGCAGGTGCTACATGAGGAGTCTTTATATTCTTTGCAGGTTGGGGAGGGGGGTGAAGAAGCTGATGATCAATCCACGGCAGGGTGGACAGGATCTCACTGTGAGGAAGAGGGAATCCAGACACACAGGGAACAAGGTAGGTGGTAGCAGCCGCAGGGATTACAAAGACAAGAGATCAACAGGAAGTCCGACTGGGTGTAAAGACACGTTGCTTCTTGTTTCATTAGTAAGCTGTTCGTGTCTCCAAAAAAACACAGACAAGTAAATCAAGCTACTCCCCTTAACCCCACTCCTCCCTCCTCTAATCTAGTAGATGAATGGTTGCTGTAGTCGGTCCTTTGTGATCTTATACTGGACAATAATTCACGGAAGCTGAGGTGAGACTTGGAAGCAGCAAACATTATGATTGTAAGAGTTTGGGCAAAAATGTAAAAGCAATTCTTTGCTGGGCAATGGATATTTGTTTGATCTGGATTCATTATTGAAAAAGTTTGAGAGTTGAATATGGAAAGTACTTTCCACGTTCAGAGCATCCAAATAACTTGTATTCAATGGTGGATCTTCTGGTGACTAATAAGATTTACCTTTTGTGCGAAGCCCTTGTCACAAACTGGGCATTTAAATGGTTTCTCTCCAGTGTGAGTCCTTAAGTGACCAGTAAGCTGCGTCTTTAACCTGAAACATCTGTCACATTCTGAACACCTGTGTGGTTTCTCTCCTGTGTGGATCCTCTGATGTGCCTTAAGTTTGCTCTTTTGTGAGAAGCGCTTGTCACATTCTGAACACCTGTATGGTCTCTCTCCTGTGTGCAACCTCTGATGTTCAACAAGACTTTCTTTAGTTATGAAGCTCTTATAACATTCTGTGCACTTAAATGGTTTCTCTCCAGTGTGATTCGTATGGTGTTCAATAAGATTTTCCTTTGATGTAAAACCCTGTTCACATTCAGAGCACTTGTCACATTCTAAACATCTAAATAGCGTCTCTCCTGTATGGGTTTTCTGGTGCTCAACAAGAGTTCCCTTTCGTGTGAAGCTCTTGTCACATTCTGAGCATTTAAAGGGTTTCTCTCCAGTGTGAGTTCTCTGGTGAACAATGAGCTGAACTTTCCTGGTGAAACATTTGTCACATTCTGAACAAAAAAACAGATTCTCTCCAGTGTGGAACCTCTGATGTGCAACAAGATTTTTCCTTTCTGTGAAGCTCTTGTCACATTCTGAGCATTTAAATGGTTTCTCTCCAGTGTGAGTCCACTGGTGAGTAGTAAGACGTTTCATTATGGAAAAGCACTTTCCACATTCTGGACATTTAAATGGCTTCCCTCTACTGTGACTCCTCTGGTGTATCATAAGGTATTCCTTCGATGTAAAACCCTTTTCACATTCAGAGCACTTAAATGGCTTCTCTCCAGTGTGGAACCTCTGATGTGCAACAAGAGTTTTCCTTTCTGTGAAGCTCTTGTCACATTCTGAGCATTTAAATGGTTTATCTCCAGTGTGGATCCTTTGGTGTCTCATAAGACTTGCCTTCGCTGTAAAACCCTTTTCACATTCAGGGCACTTAAATGGCTTCTCTCCAGTATGATTCATTTGGTGTTGAGTAAGATGTGCCTTCAATGTAAAACCCTTTCCACATTCTGAACATGTAAATGGTTTCTCTCCAGTGTGGATCCTTTGGTGTCTCATAAGATTTGCCTTCAATGTAAAACCCATTTCACATTCAGAGCACTTAAATGGCTTCTCTCCAGTGTGACTCATCTGGTGTTGAAACATTTTTGCTTTATATGAAAAACTCTTGTCACATTCAGAGCACTTATATGGTTTATCTCCTGTAGTACTCCCCTGGTGTTCAGTAAGATGTGTCTCATGTTTTAAGCTCTCCACAAATGGTTTCTCTTCTTTAGGAATCATCTGGTGAACTATTAAAAATGCGTTTGTAATGAAAATGTTCTGATACTCCAAATTCTCATGTGTCATGTCTCTGCTTGGTTCCATTATGTGCTAAAGTATACAGACTTAGTAGTAGTATGATTTCAGACTGCTTACATCCAAAATTGAAGCATTATGGTGGATTCCTGAAAAATATGGAAATAAATTATAAAATTATAGAAGAACACTTAAAGAGTGACCTCAGAATTTAATACATTCCGGGGTTTTACATCAGAATTGTAATGTATGGTACATCCATGGCATTGGATTTACAAAGCATTAGAGGTTTTCTAAAGATAGTTTAAAGCAGAAGGTTTTCCATTTACACTATTCCGTCTCTGATTGAAAAGTCAGATGGAGCCATACGAAGAGGAAGCAGTCACTGTTCTGGGTTAATCCTATGTATAAACGTAAGCCTAAGCTGTTGAGCTCTGTAAACAGCCTTTTTTTCAGCAAAGGAGCAAAATAGAGCCTTGAAAACTTGTATAAAAAACAAAAGCATAATACACAAGTAGATAGGGGTTCCTACAAGAGTGGTTTATGGATTAAGAAGGGAAAGATATTTTAAAAAGCCATATGAAGAATAGGATCACAATATTGAGGGGAGAGTAGATTAGAGGAAATAAGGGAGTAATACAATAGCTAGTACATTTGTCTATAAGACATCCTAGTAGAACACAAGGAAAATAGACACAAAAGAGGAGTAGAAAGAAGTTTCGTCCATAGAGAGGAGGATGGGGCGACATATTTTTCACAGGGGTGGTTTCTTTTTTTTTTTCTTGTTGTTGTTAGGGGGCGGAACAATATAAGTGGACCACAAAGGTGGCCCTGCTTCCCATCCCTCCAGAAGAGGAAGAATGGAAAGATTGGAGTAAAGCATAAGAAAAGGGGATGTAGATTTGGCAAGAATCTATGTGAGTGGTTGATTTATGATGTACCTGTGGGTTTTGTATTTAATATCTGCTATATAAAATGTATTGTATTAATTATACTAAATCGAAGTGCAATAAAAACATATTAAACAAAAATAAAAGACAAAAGCTTCAGGTGCTGGTTGTATAGGAAAATGGATATTATTTCAAATTCATAGTTCCCCCTCCAATGTCTATATCACTACTTCTTCTTGTAGTGACATAGTGACTAACTGGGAAAGCTATGGCACCCAGCGGGGCACATGCTATCTGGCATACACTTCTGCAAGAGATTGACGATTCCTTTATTCTGCTACCCATTGAGGTTAGTATTATGCGTTTTCATTTACAGGGTACAATTTTCAGACAAACCAGATGGTTACTTTATAAGAGAACTATGACATAACCTTTTTTGGCCATAGTTCCTTTTAGAGTCACAGGAGGACATGTACTATGGCATCCTCTGACTCAAAAGCGCAGAGGCAGAGCGAGCTGTGCCGGCCCTTCTGCCCCATCTGTCCCTCCAGTCAGTGCTGGAGGAACAGAGAGGGGAGTGGGGGGGGATCCTAATTTTTCATGTTTTTAAATCATACATGTTACTGGAATTTGAGTCCCCAGTACAGAGCTCAGTTTGTCGCTGCCGAATTCTGCACCAAAGAAAAGGAATTATTATGATATCCAGGAGGGTGGACTACTATGCAGTGGCACCAGATGTCTATTGTGCTTAGGGGCTCACCTCATCTTCATAAGAACTTCTTTAAAATGTATGCACACAAAATATATCGACTGCATGTCCCTCTGGACTTATCCTGTTGCTGCACTATATTGCTGCCTTATGACCCCTGCTAGATTAACTCTTGCTGCACTTTGGATTACTGGATTGTTATCACGGTGGCTCTGGAATTATTCCTTCCTGGGCCACACTGACTACCCATGTTCTATAAACACACACAGCCACTTGCGGGCACGGCCAGGACGGAGCATGCATGGGTGCTTTCATAATTCAGCTTAATTTATAGAGGCACCTGTGTAGGGGATGGGGGGAGAGTGATGTGGGGAGCCACTAGAAAATGAGGAATTTAACATTTTAAATTAAAACAAAACAAAGGATTTCTTGTTGTATGGGCCTCTTATTTATAAAAATATAAAATCACAAAGCTTTAAAATCACTTTAACCCCAGCTCCAACACCATGCTTTGTATACCAAAATTCCCCAAAAAGCATCCCACTCATTGGGTCCCATGTATTTCTGCTCTGTGTCTGCATTCCAAGTTCATCACAAGCTGGTTGGCAGTGGTGGAATGACAGCTCATGAGATGGCAGATGAGAGCGGACACACCATGGAAACAACACAAGCTCCAGAATTGGATTGTGATCACTCTACAAGAGTGTGTTGGGGAGTTGGGTCTCAACTACAAGGAACTTTCTAAGGAACAGCTGGTTAGGATGTTGGAAGATGCCTGGCGGCAGCACGGGTTGGGCGTCCACATTGTTGAGTCACAACCCAGGGCTCCCCGGTCCTGCCAGTAAGAGCCACTAGGTTTCTGGCTCCCCAGAGCAAAAGGTGCATGGGAGGGGGTTTGATGCTTGATGGTCAGCACCAGCCTGTATATGACCCCCCTCCCTTTCCATGCTGCACCTCTAAGGACATGTTTCAGGCCTGTGGGAGGTCTGAGCAGGTATTCATCACTGTGACTGACAGATCGGAGGCTTCGCTGGGGCCAGGCTCTGTCTGTGGATTCAAAAAAACCGCTACACAGAGGCTGAAACGTAACCCTGAGGCCCCTTTCACCAGGGTCGTCCCATCGGGTCCACCTGTCAGTTTTTTAGGCAGACCCGATAGGATGCCCAATGCTGCTGTGGCTTGTGGTTCCTCGCTATTCCATGCTCATAAGGTCTGCTGATACCTATGGTTCCTCCATGTAATCTGTTAAACCCTACAAGACTGACTCTTGCTACACCTCACCTCTCTGCCCCATGTCCCTCCTGCTGTACCACATTGCTGCCTTGTGGCCCCCTGCTGTACCATATTGCTGCCTTGTGGCCCCCTGCTGTACATGTAACAGAACAAGACTTTGTATCCATTATTATGTATCACAATATTACACTTGGAACACATCATTGCTGATAATATATCAGGGGGAGGGAACCTCAGCAACCTGCTGTGGAACTACAAGTCCCATGAGGCATTGCAAGACGGACAGCCCACACATGACTCCCAGAGACAGAGGCATGCTGGGATTTGTAGTGTGTCCTGTGGTCGCCTCCTCCGTGGTGTAACAATAAAGACAAGACGGATCTCAGAGACATTTGTGTCCAGAACCAGGAAGAGAAAATAAAGGTGATTTTCAGAGGTGATTGGAATGAAGAGTGTGAGCGTAGCTCAGGAAGAGGTCAGGTCCGGATGTGTCATAAATGGGTCAGTGTGGTGTCAGTGGTGACAAGCTGAAGAATGGGGATTACCTCCATAGGATGTGATGGAAGGATCGCCTCTAGTGCTAGAATCGGCCGCTCGGGGGGAGAGAGAGGAAGTCACCTCAGAGATGTGGGAGGAGTCTGAGGGGAGGTCTTGTCATGATTGGTCGGAAGGAAAACACAGACCCGGAGGTGATGTCCTAACAGCACCATAGAGAGGAGGAAGGAGGATAGTGAGCTGCAGAGAGAGGGGAGGGGGGTGAGAACGTAGCACCCGGAGGACTGATGATAAGAAGTGGAGGATCTGGTGGAATGGAGCACACGGGGGGAGGGGAGAATACTGTGACAGAGAAGAGTTCTCTATATGTACAGTGCGGGGAGCAGAGGAAGAGCCATAGAGGAGGAAAACTATTCCGGGGGACAAAGTTATCAGGAAACTGCTGACATCACATAGATCAGTGTTTCCCACCCTTTCTAGGGCCGGGACCCCTTGGTAACATTTGCCAAGTTGTGGTGACCCCCAAAGGTAAAATGTAGGGATGAGGCGGCTGCTGCAGCGACATCTGGCGGCGTGGCGGGAGAACTGACACTGCTGCGCTAGGAGAGAGCTGAGGAGGACTCGCACCTTGCTCAGCGACCCCACAGGCTGAGAACCACTGCTATAGGCAGGACCGGGCTCTGCAGCTGGAACTAGAAGAATGGGATTTAAAGTGTGTGGCTATATAACGTATGAGGTACATACTCCGCAGTACTGTCACTGATAGGGAGGCGCACGTGTTCTCAGCTCCACGTGCCGAGCCCGCCAGGAAGCTGACAGTGCGCAGTGCCAATCACAGGCACTGAGACATTTCCCCATCTCTACAGCTGCGGACCGGGAAAATGGAACGCATAGCTAGAGGTGTGTTTTACATATTTTTTTGCTTGAATACATACATATTGCACCCGCCTTCTGCCGCTGTCAATCACTAGAAGGGGACCTGATGGAGAACTTCAGGTCCCCCTCTGCTGATTGGCAGCACCAGAGGGCAGATGCAATAGCTAGTTTGCTATAGGCTTTTGCAAAGTGAAATAGCCAATAGGAATCTAGCTATGCATTCCTATGGTGGGTTGTTTTTTTTTCTGACATACGGCGGCCCCCGATTTAAAAAAAAAAAAAAAAAACAGAGCAGAGAAAGGTCCCGACCTTTCCGGGAGAAAGTGTTTCTCTCCCGACGGCTGAGAGCCACTCGGCGACCCCTGGCAAATCGTCATTCGACCCCGGAGGGGGTCCCGACCCACAGGTTGAGAACCACTGACATAGATGATGAACCGCTGGGACAGAGACTGCAGAGAGCTATGAGAGGACCGCAATGACAGCAACATGTCTGTGTCTGATGAAAGGAGGCAAGCACTACAGCTGTGATCAGACTACAAGTCCCATCATGCTTCTGTTTCTGGGAGTCATGTCTGTGGCTATCAGAGTCTTGCAATGCCTCATGGGACTTGTAGTTCTACAACAGCTGGAGTGCTGGGCTGTGCTCCCCCTGATACAAGGACATCAACCAGGAAGGAGTTATGATGATAATAACGTGTTATAGTGTAATGTCTATGGCGTGTGCGCTGCCTCTCATATTAATAATAACAAACGAAATAACACACACACATGTTGTGAGTAGGAGGGAGACACATGTTGTGGGTAGGAGGCGGACACGTGTTGTGGGCAAAAGGTGGCCACTTGTTGTG